TCCAAAGCGAGACGATATATATGGATGGATGGATGGATCCGTACCATTTTACTGACACCACGGCATCAACTTTAACGCGACTTTCCGCAAAAACCGTAAAAGAAATACAACTGATCCTTTTGACTGGCTCAAATGCTTTAATGGCCTCCAAATCAGCATGAAAAAAGATAAAATTGGCCAAGAAATAGGAGTTTTAGAGCCCAAAATTTGGGCCCCGAAGTGGTGTCAAAAACGCGAATTAAATAGGTAATAATTATTTCAGTCTCTTAAGTCTTGACGCCATTTTAGGGTTATACGGGTTTCAGCTAGTTATATTAGCGTAAATAAGAGTGAGAGAACAACTTTTACATAATTGACACTATTTTAGGGTTATACGGGTTTCAGCTAGTTATATTAGCGTAAATAAGAGTGAGAGAACAACTTTTACATAATTGACACTAATTGGTAACGTCACTAATTGGTGACGTGATCTTGGGGCCCGGACCAGCTTCCTTACCCAAAGCTTCCAGTGCATTAGTTAGGGATACTATTAAAGAAGTGTCAATGGAGGTAATTATAGGTAAGCGCCCCACAAAGCCTTGTTGCAGAACGCAGTTAGATTAAACAGAAGGCTCCTAGTGACAGCAACAATAGGAGCAAATACTCTCGGGCCGAAAATTGTTGAAAAGAGCTACAGGAAAGACGACGAGAATTGGGCTCTTAGAGTTGCAGCAGATTTGGAAACAGCTACTGTCACGGCCGGCAAAGAGAAGTCTGTCCGGTAAGATCAACTGCTGTCAGAGATAAAACCGGGAAGTTAATTGCTGGAAGATGCTGCAGCGTTTTCAGGAAACACTTATATAGATCTAGAAGGAGCGAGCGAGATGGCTAGTGACCACAAACACTGGAGGGAGATGATACGACACAAACGGGAGTTCATTGGTGCAGACCACTCGAATGATTGAGAATACAAGACCTTATCAAGAACAAGTAAGTACTGGAATAGTACCGGGGACATGTTCTAAGGAAGTTTTCTTTATCTTCTATTATCGGGCAACATATGGAAGATTTAGGAAGAGCTCCATCACGGACTTTTCATATCTCAGTTCACAATATCCGTGAAAGTTATCTCATTTAATTAGTTTTCAACATTTTTGCATGAAATTATTCTGAACATTTGAACATTTAAAATATAATTTGGAACATTACAGTAACGTTATTCAAATCTTCGATTATTGGGTTGAAGAATGGTAAATCTGCCATGATCTCCAGAGTTCCCTTGTTCTTAGTGGAGCATCCCGCACAGATACGGTGTAGCAAACTAAAAGTTTCATGGATGTGTGAACAACAATCTCCAGTGACATGATTACAATTAAAATGGCAAACATTATACGACACAGTGCTCTTTTATCAAACTCTTATAATTATCAATTATTCAATACTAATAAAACCTATAATTAACAACAATTCTTAATGCCTATAACTAATAAATTCTAACTAAAAATGTCTAACTAAAATTTCTAACTAAGAATTTCTAACTAAGAATTTCTAACTAAGAATTTCCTAGAATAAATGTCTACATTTAGAGATAATCTCAGATCTTTTATTTATTGAGTCTGGGTTTTTAAGGATGTGTAGCTTTTCGTCTAGGCAGAGGCCACAATACCCTGTCCCTGCCGTATAATTATTTGATTTAGTGATAATCTTCCAGTCTATGCTATATTCAATGTTTTTATCCTTGAGGTCCCATATCAATTTTGATTTGAGTTCGGAACTTAATCTGTGCTTAGGATTTTTGAAGCTTAGTCGATGATACTAATAAAGCTTATTGAATGGGAAAAGCGAGCAACCGATTCCATTCTCGGTATCAATTTGCATTTGCGGAAGGTTCCTCAAATTAATATCATATCCTTTTGTTTGGAAAAGAGAGACACTGGCAGCGGTTCACTCTATCCATGATTATGGGTTTTGGTAAAATATATACATATACTTCACGACAATGGCACCACTTTAACCTGTATGACAAAAAAAATCTTGGGTTCGAATTACATGTATGATTATTGATTACATGGCTCCACTGGAATGAGATAAGAAAAAAATTGATTAAGTTAGGCGGACTGCAACAGATGCACCGTTTGTTTGTCATTTAAAAACGGTGTAAAAAGTTATATTTTCAGTTTTTCGTATTTGATAACAATATTTAAATTGTTATCAAAATATTTCGTATCTAAATGTATAGTATCTAAATATATCATATCTAAATGTTAATTTCCCTCCAAATTTATCTTATGGAAATATTTGTATACCTTTAATGACTTTAAAATTTTTTAAATGTGTCCTTCTGCGTTTGTTATTTTATTCCGATAATCATTACTTTTTTGTGTTTACTAGCAGGAACCCGTCTAACCCTAAAGTGGTATCAAGACTCGAGAGACTAAAATAATTATTACCTATTTAATTCGCGTTTTTGACACCACTTGGGAGTCCAAATTTTGGGCACTAAAATTCTTATTCCTTGGCCAATTAAAAAAAAGAAGCTGATTTGAAGGCCATTAAAGCATTTGACCTAGTCAAACAAGTTTCAGTTGTATATCTTTTACAGTTTTTGCGAAAAGTCGCGTTAAAGTTGATGCCGTGGTGTCAGTAAAATGGCACGGATCCATCCATATATATATATATTGTGCTATGGATAAGATCGATATTTTAGTTAATGAAAGAGATTTAGAACATGGCCCGCCACACAGACCAGCATTCTGCATTGCGTGACGATATATACATGGCATGGCCTGGTACTGTTGAGGAGCTTCTACAATTTATGGAATGGCTCAATAGTATCCATCCGGACCTTGTGATTACTTACGACTACTCTAAGGATGGTGTTGAGTTTTTAGACACCTATGTCTATGCTGTTGGCGATGTTATTCATACCAAACTTTACTCTAAGCCCAGTGACACCCACTGCTATCTCATCCCCACCTCATGTCATAGGAGCCATGTTCTCAAAAACATACCCTATGGTGTGGCGAGGCGAGTGAGGCAGAACAATAGTGAAGACACTAATTTCTTAGAGCAAAGGGAGGTATATACTGGTTACCTTGTAGCCCGTGGTTACCATTCTAGTATTGTAGACGATGCTTTCAACAAATTTAGTGATATAACCAATAGGAAAAACTTGTATGCCCCTAAAAATAAGGATGAGACGACTACTTGTCTAATACCTATGGTGATGGATAAAAATCCAGCACTTCCCAACATGGGGAGCATTATTCACAAGTATAAGCACCTTCTTAATCTCGATCCAGCCTTGAAGAAGCTAGTACGTGCTGACAGTGTATTTGTAAGTCACCGAAAGAATCAAACTATCGGTGGCATGCTTGTACACAATAAGTATCGTGCTAGTGGAACTGTAAGCAGTGATAGAGATGGAGGAGCCACTGCCAGTCAATTTCTTGAACCAGACGCTGCAATATTGCCGGCTGTTCGGGAGGCTAACAACGCAGGGTGCCATGCCTGTGGAAAATGCTATGTTTGTAAGCAAAGTTTCCTGTCCCCTTGTTCCAAATTTAGTAGTCACCATTCCAAACAAGTTTTCCCTATTACTAAATATATAACTTGTCAGAGTAATAACCTTATTTATTTAATGGAGTGTAGAACTTGTAAACAGTCGTATGTAGGATATACTACTTCTAATCTCCCTAAGAGATTTTCTAATCATAAGAGCCACATTAAGAAAGGTATCAGGAGTTGTAAGTTAGTAAATCACTTTTTAGATATTGATCATGATTTAGATTTTAGTTCAGTAGCCTTATATAACTCTTCACTTAGTACGCACCTTTCTGTTATTATAGTGGACGCTATAGAATTTAAACCTGAAATCAGTAAAGCAGATAGGGAAAAGGCCATGGAAGCTAGAGAGGGGTTCTACCAGACCCAATTGAAAACCCTTGAGCGTTATGGGGGTATGAACACCCTCGATAGTAACCACATCCTTTTTAAATCCGCTGGAGCTTAGTGTTTAGTTTATTTATTTTATTTAACATGATCTTAGCCTATAAACCCGTGTTTAGTTTACAATATTGCTATCAGAGACGTATTATATTCATCACTATTTTAATATTTTTACTGCTTGATTCAGAGAAATCTAGCTTTTTCCGAGAAACTAATCTTTAATAGATTAGATAAGATGTAGATGTACGCAGCCATTCTTTTCGTTTGATTATTACTCAGTATTTTTTAGTTTTGTACCGTTTTGAGTCACATAGTTTTGTACGTCTTCCTAAGACTTGTTTTCCTTTCCTAGTTTGTAAGTTATTTTAAAGATTTGTGTATATTCCAGTTGCTTTTAGAACAATTTTATCTCAGATAACGATGTTTAATAAAATGATGCAAAGATCTATTTCGAAGATCTAATCAACACCGACTTTTAAGTTTTAATGTGTAGGAGTACAGCAACAAAATATATATATATATCGAGACGATTGAATATAGCATAGACTGGAAGATTATTACTAAATCGAAGAAATATAAGGCTGGAGCGGGGCATTGTGGCCTCTGCTTAGACGAGAAACTATACATACTTAAAACCCCAGGCATTATTAATAAAAGATCAGAAATTATTTCTAAATGTAGGCACTCTAGGAAATTCTTAGTTAGACATATTTAGTTAGTATTTATTAGTTATTAGGATTTGTAGTTATTTATATAGGTTTAGTAGTATTGAGTAATTGTTAATTGTTAATTATAAAATTTGATAAAGGAGCACTGTGTTGTATTATGTTTGCCATTTTTATGTTAATTATGTCACTGAAGATTGCTTTTCAAACATGAAACTTATAGTTTGACAATTGCATAGTTTGCTTTGTACCGATATTTCATGCTCCTAGCTACAGCTAGTAGAGCCCTTTTTCTATAAGAGAAGAAAACCAGTTGTATATCGAGACGATATATATATATTATATATATATCGTCTCGCTTTATATATAGTACGATATACTATGACTCACACGGTCCCTCCCCCTCAGTAAAATGTTAATACGACTGTCATGCATGGTTCTATGTCTAACAGTTTCGCACTGCCTGGTTGATCGTCCAAACATCATAATAATGCTGATGGATGATATGGGTTGGGGTGACGTGGGGATCAATGGAAACTGGGCTAAGGAAACCCCTTTTATCGACAAGATGGCAGCAGAAGGTATGTTGTTCATGAACTTTTACACAGCTAACCCGCTCTGTTCCCCCTCACGAGCAGCCCTAATGACGGGGAGACTTCCTATTAGAAATGGATTTTACTCAACAAACGCTCATGCTAGGAACGCTTACACTCCTCAGACCATTGTCGGTGGTATCCACGAATACGAGCAGCTCCTTCCTAAACTTTTGAAAGAAGCTGACTACAAAAGTAAAATAATTGGAAAATGGCACCTGGGACACAGGAGACAGTTCCTTCCCTGCAATAGAGGGTTTGATGAGTTCTTTGGCTCAGGAAATTGTCATTTTGGACCATTTAACGATGTTAAAACACCCAACATGCCAGTGTACAAAGACGACAAAATGGTTGGAAGATACTACACCAACTTCACCATTGGAAAAATGACTGGACTGTCCAATGTGAGCCAAATATTTCTCCAGGAAGGTCTTTCATTCATCGAAAAGGAGCACTCTGATGGAAATCCGTTCTTCCTTTACTGGACACCGGACGCGACACACGGTCCCAACTATGCCAGCCCAATGTTCCTCGGGAAAAGCATCCGAGGAAGATACGGAGATGCTGTGATGGAAATGGACTACTGTGTAGGCAAGATCTTACAGAAGCTGAAGGAGCTAGGGATTGACAAGAACACTTTTGTCTTCTTCACGTCTGACAACGGGGCAGCTACCTACAGAGGTTCAGCAGGCGGAGACAATGGTCCTTTCTTGTGTGGAAAAGAGACAACATATGAGGGAGGGATGAGAGAACCAGGGATAGCTTGGTGGCCTGGTTCAATCCCTGCTGGAACCATTACTCATCAGCTCGGAAACATCATGGACCTTTTTACTACCAGTCTAACTTTGGCAGGGGGTAAAACCGCCTCAAGACAGAATTATTGACGGCATAGACCTGTGTCCAGTTCTACTGGACGAGTCAGTCCCAGTGATAGACAGGTCTATATGGTATTACAGAGGTAACGAGATGATGGCAGTGAGGGTGGGCGCTTACAAGGCACACTATTGGATGTGGACTGGGTTCGGACAAGACCCACTGAAGTTCACTTTCTGCAGAGGCCAATACATTTCCAATGTTACAGTTCACGACCAAATAGATCACACGGATAAACCAATACTTTTCAATGTTAATAGAGATCCAGGTGAAAAGTATATCATCGCATTCAAAAGTAAAGAATACAAAGCTGCCATGGAAATCATCGACCCCATCGTTAAAGAGCACAAAGCAAACTTGGTACCAGGAGTGCCGTCCCTAAACTATTGCGATGTTGCAGTGCAAAATTGGGCTCCACCGGGCTGTGAGGACCTTGATTACTGTTTGCCTGTACCTGATTCTAATCCCAAGCTTTGTGTGTGGGGTCACTGATGCGATAGAAGAGAAGTAACTGGGAAGCTACACAGAAAAAGCTTTAAAATTGTTTTTTGAAGAGACATTTAAAAATGGGTGTATTTTTGTTGAAGTTTTAAATCGAGATTTTGTTTAATACGATAAAAATGTGTTATGTCACTTTTAACCTCCGAAAATAATTTATTTGTTTCATTTAATGAAAATGGTGGAGTTTTTTTTGGCAAATAACCTAGGTAGACGCTATGAATTTCAAACACTGCTGCTTATTTCAGGCAAGATTTCGCGACAATTGACCCCCGACAATTGACCCTCCCGACATTTGACCCCCGACAATTGACCCCCCATGTAACTAGGGTTAGTGTTAGTGTTAGTGTTAGTGTTAGTGTTAGTGTTAGTGTTAGGGTTAGGGTTAGGGTTAGGGTTAGGGTTAGGGTTAGGGTTAGGGTTAGGGTTAGTGTTAGGGTTAGGGTTAGGGTTAGGGTTAGGGTTAGGGTTAGGGTTAGGGTTAGGGTTAGGGTTAGGGTTAGGGTTAGGGTTAGGGTTAGGGTTAGGGTTAGGGTTAGGGTTAGGGTTAGGGTTAGGGTTAGGGTTAGGGTTAGGGTTAGGGTTAGGGTTAGGGTTAGGGTTAGGGTTAGGGTTTGGGTTAGGGTTTGGGTTAGGGTTATTGTCGGGGGGTAAATTGTCGGGGTGGGGGGGGGGGGGGGGGGGGGGGGGGGAATTGTTAGGTGGTCAACTGTCGGGGGGTCAACTGTCGGGGGGTCAATTGTCGGGGGGTCAATTGTCGGGGGTCAATTGTCGGGGGTCAATTGTCGGGGGTCGATTGTCGCCCACCCTCAGGCAACTCTTTATGTAAAATACTAAAAGTTTCTGCGACTCACAGATTGGAATGATGATAATGAAGCAAGGATAGATCCTCCAATCCATACCGAGTACTTCCTCTCAGGGGGGCAAACCACTTTTATCTTCATTGAGGGTGGAGCTAGCGCTGTTAGCTCCCTCTGCATCCTGTCTGCTATACCTGTCATGCTAATAATGAAATAGTGCTAAACCTGTCTGCTATTATACCTTTCAAGCAAATAGTGAAATAGTATTACACTTGTCAAACTAATAGTGAAATAGTGCTATATCTGTCGCTATACCTGTCAAGCTAATAGTGAAATAGTACTACACCTGTCTGCTATACCTGTCAAGCAAATAGTGAAATAGTATTACACTTGTCATACTAATAATGAAATAGTGCTAAACCTGTCTGCTATTATACATTTCAAGCAAATAGTGAAATAGTATTACACTTGTCAAACTAATAGTGAAATAGTGCTATATCTGTCGCTATACCTGTCAAGCTAATAGTGAAATAGTACTACACCTGTCTGCTATACCTGTCAAGCTTATAGTGAAATAGTACTACACCTGTCTGCTATACCTGTCAAGCATAATAGTGAAATAGTATTACACTTGTCAAACTAATAGTGAAATAGTACTACACCTGTCTGCTATACCTGTCAAGCTAATAGTGAAATAGTGCTATACCTGTCTGCTATACCTGTCAAGCTAATAGTGAAATAGTGCTATACATGTCTGCTATACATGTCTGCTATACAAGTCTGCTATACCTGTCAAGCTAATAGTGAAATATTGCTATACCTGTCTGCTATCCCTGCAAATAGTTTTAACCTGACCGTCAAATAATCGTAACTTGTATATCAAATACAGCAACTATGCTCTGATAAAGAAAGAGGCTTGTAAATCCAATAGTAGAAGAATGGAAGGTCTATAAAGTTTTTTTTAAATGTTCAGCATACCTGAAAACATTGTAGAACCCCCAGAGAGAACTAGATTTGCGTAGAGATCACGTTTAATATCAATGTCACATTTCTGGATTGAGTTGTAGCACGCTTCATGCACTCCTTTAGCTTCCATTCCTGTAAACGAATAGCCGAGTCACACACATGTGACATATACATTTTTTGTGTTCTAATAACTAAACTTAAATATTGCCAACATTTAAATAATTTTAAGAGAACCTTAAAAACTGGTCTTATTACTTGTAGTACCTCTAAATTACAGTACAGTAAAATCCCTGTATAGTACCTCTAAATTACAGTACAGTAAAACCCCTGTAGTACCTCTAAATTACAGTACAGTAAAATCCCTGTAGTACCTCTAAATTACAGTACAGTAAAACCCCTGTAGTACCTCTAAATTACAGTACAGTAAAACCCCTGTAGTACCTCTAAATTACAGTACAGTAAAACCCCTGTAGTACCTCTAAATTACAGTACAGTAAAACCCTGTAGTACCTCTAAATTACAGTACAGTAAAACCCCTGTAGTACCTCTAAATTACAGTACAGTAAAACCCCTGTAGTACCTCTAAATTACAGTACAGTAAAACCCCTGTAGTACCTCTAAATTACAGAACAGTAAAATCCCGATTTACCGCAAACCCCGAATTAGTGTGGCCATTTTCTTCCCCAAAAATTAAGAATAAACTTGTAAATCATAAATGTAAACAATCAAAACTCTGATTTACGGCGGACCCCGATTTAGTGTGGCCATTTCCTTCCCCAAAAATTAGGAATAAACTTGTAAATCATAAATGTAAACAATCAAAACTCCGATTTACGGTGGACCCCGATTTACCGCACCTTTTACCTTTCCCCCAAACTCCGCGGTAAATCGGGATTCATGTACAAAGTATACATGTACATAAATCTACGTAGCTACATTAGTGAGCCATTGATCACGAACACAACTTGAGTAACTGGATCTTCATTTAATTAAGTACTAAATCTTTAATTCAATTAAATACTAAACCTGCAATTTAATTAAGTTCTAAATCTGTAATTTAATTAAGTTCTAAATCTGTAATTTAATTAGGTTCTAAATCTGTAATTTAATTAAGTACTAAATCTGTAATTTAATTAAGTACTAACTCTGTAATTTAATAAAGTTCTAACTCTGTAAACTTATACTCACCGATCATAGTAGGTTGAAATAAAGCTTCGGGGCCCCTAAATCGTTCATTTCCAATCGTAATTACCTGGGTGTACAGGTGAAGGTATCAGAAGGGAGTCCAGAGTTGAGGATAAGGTAAATTTTAGGGCAACGTTACGATTTGAGGGGGGGGGGGGGGGCTCTTCATGAACATTTTCTCGAAATTGAGTTTATAGTCGTTTCTGATAAAAAGAGATTGATATTCATCAGCTGCTTTTGGTCCCATGGAAAAATATTGTTCCGAGGTAAAATTATCGCCGTTTAACTTCAAAGGTCAACGCTTACATTTTTTAGCTATCACCCTTAATTTTTTAGGATATTTTCCATGGATCATTTAGAAGAGAACTGTAGAGCCAGAATTTTGAATAGGCCTTTAAAATTTTTAATTCGATTTTGAAAATCTTCGACCTCTAAAACTCGTCAAAATACGAGCGGCCAATTCCATTTCGGTATCATTTTGCATTTGATAACGGGAATTAAAATAGATATCTCCTTTTGTTTAGGAAAGGGAGACACTGTAACGATCAACTCAAGCCAATTTTGGGTTCCGGTAATAATATCCCCTTGGAATACAGCTGAGTAAGCTCTTTCAGAAAAAACTCACCACAGATTGTTCGCCATGCTTTCGTAGAGCAAAGAAACCTAGAGCTGACCTGGTTCCGAACATCGAGAGCGCTGACCGACGCATTTGACCCAGGAGCAACTAAACGAACAATTGTCACGAAGAATGTTCCCATGCCGAACAGCCAACTCGTTCGGAGTAGACTGAGGGATTGGTTCCAACAAAAGTGGGAACAAGCTCGACTTGAAAACAAAAAGCTTGCATTCTACAACGAAATCAAAAGCAGCTTTAGATTAGAACCATGCCATCTCTAGTCTCTACCCAATCACAAGAAAACCCGATGAACCTCATGGACAAGCTCCCACAAACTCAATATCGAGACAGGGCGATATGGCTGGAAAAATTCAAGCATCTTCTACAGAGCTTGCCACTTCTGCTGCGCCTCAGACAGAATCACCTCAGACCTCCTGAACGAGCTCCCTTTAAATGACATCATCAAAGAAGACGAAATTCATATACTTAGAGAATGTCTAGTCTACGAGGAGATCAGACACAGAAACAGCACGGAACTTCACAACCTGCTCACAAATAGTCAATTCAGTAAATTATTTGAGGAGAATTACATTCTTGAGACTAGAAATTGTTTTTATAATTTATTTAGTGAAAGATTTCCTAAAAGTAAGCTGTGACTTACTTAATCCGTGCATATTTTAAAATCATTTCTTTATTTTTGATATGTTATTTGTTTGGTTGAATAATTTTAATTTAATTGATCTGAATCTGACACATGTAAATTTGTAATGATCTTTCTGATTTCTAATTTCTAATTATGTCACGACAATCTATCTTAAAACAGGGGTTCCTGGTTCCTTCCCGATACTCCGAAACTTGAAAAAAATTGCCATCGATTTGATCAACGTCTAGCCGCCCTGCGAAATTTCAGATCTCTAACTTAGTTTAAAAGTGGTTTTTAAGCAACTTAATGTAGGTAGCGATTTTGGGGTTTTTTTTACCGAATTTCGTATAACAGCTGGCTCGTATTTTATGCAAATTTCTTAAAAATCTCCACATTGCTTATTCCTGTCATCTTTGACATTGAATTAGAATGTTTTAAACTAAAAATAAACCTGCTGAACGACTTCTGATGAGTCTTATTGCCTGAAAAAAACAACAAAAAAACAGTAAACGAGGTATAAAGTCAGCACCGTGATGCTATTGTTACCTGGCCATCGGGTAGCTCATATGCTTTTTCAAGACCATCTGAAGAATCTGGAGCTTTTAGCTCTTTTTCAAAGTCCAACGCAATGTACGATAGCTTTTCCTGCGTCAGAATATTCAAATTCAGAAACATTAAATACTGAGTGTTCCCAAAAAAGACCACCTAGAGATTAGTTTTAAACAAAGATCACATAGTTGCCTTTTTGGGCCATCTTGTATGACACAAACGAGGGTTAAACATTAATTAAATACGTTGATTACGACATAGACGAGGGTTAAACATTAATTAAATACATTGATTATGACATAGACGAGGGTTAAACATTAATTAAATACATTGATTATAATGCAAACGATATAAGTGATTAGAGAATAATGTTCATTAAAGTTAATACGCTGCACTGACTGTATTAAAGTTTATAATGATCAGTGAAATCATCAGTAGCCAAAAGTAGACTTTTCACGAAACTATAATCAGACCAAACGTTAAGATAACCAGTTATGATTAATTCTGCTGCCAAATTGGACGATTTTTTGTTTAAAATTTAACTAAAATTCAGGGGAAAAGCGCTCTGTCTGATGCCCGCCTCCCCACATAGTAGGGTCAGTATGTGTATCACACTGTTTTAATACGCTGCACTGACTGTAATGTTTGTAGTTTGTACAATAAAGGAATACCTTAATATCTCTGACAATTTCCCTCTCTGCGGTGGTGATGAAGACATATCCCCTCTCAGTCAGGAGCTTCATCAGATGGTCAGTTAGATCCCTTCCAGCCAAGTCTAGTCTCATCACAGCGTGAGGTAGAGCGTACCCTGTAAACACAGTATAGTTGCAATATTTGTAGAATATAGTGAGGTAGAGCGTACCCTGTAAACACAGTATAGTTGCAATATTTGTAGAATATAGTGGGGTAGAGCGTACCCTGTAAACACAGTATAGTTGCAATATTTGTAGAATATAAATCTATAGGGTAATGAGAATAATTCAAAACTAATTTACGTGGTTTTCTAAAGACCAAAAATCGTAATTCGTTTGCTTTCCCTGTACGATTTTTTGTTTGAAATGATTCATAACATTCTGAAAAGGTCAGAATAGTACAGACTGTCTGCACTAGAAATAATCTCACCCTCATAGATTGGGACTGCATGAGTAACCCCGTCACCAGAGTCCATAACCTGGCCGGTAGTTCTCCCAGAAGAGTAGAGAGCTAACACCGCCTGGATAGCCACGTACATGGCTGGAACGTTGAACTGTTCAAACATTATCTCCGCCATCTTCTCTCTGTTAAAGTGATGACATTTCGGTAAAATGTTCAAAAATCGAGGTAACCGAATACTAATATTAGTAGTCAGTAGTAGTATTAATACAGGGGGGGGGGGGGGGGGGGCAAAGGTCAGTAAGGGTGGCAGACAACTGAACCCAATTGAACCTAGTTCCCACGCAGTTAACAGGCAACCAATCAGCTTAATTGGGTGACCAATCAGCTTAAATCCCAAAACGACAACTGAACCCAGGTCATATCACAACTGCACCCAAATTGGAAATACGACAACTGAACCCAAGGAAATACGACAACTGAACCCAACGATCGGATTTTCAGGTTCTCCTTCTTCGCAGGGGACTGTGGTCAGGGGAGCTGATGGAACGCACCATTAGCACGCTGGATACTTGGCTCAGGTTACTTGACTCAGATCTCGTGACTCCTGAATCCTGATGCTTTGGGAGGGCCTGCCATGGTTCAGATCTCGAGCCCTGGGTCGGATCTCGATGCTTAAGGAGCAGTGGATCGTATCCTTTTCGGCACGCTTCGTGAACACGTAAGCTTGTTAGATCAGATCTCGCGATCGAAAGGCACCTGAGACCTTGTCATCTATTAGTACGCTTGTTATACAGATCGGATCAATACATAAGGAAGAGAGATGGTGGTCACAGTATCGAATCATGGTTGTCTTCAGCAAGTTCATCAGTGGACAAAGAGGAGCTCAACTACTTCTGGACACAGACGGGAGATACCCCTACTACCTCTACTTGGAGATGCCAGAAGTACCGAATCAAGAAATGTCCTGCTCATGTATTCCTTGACCATGGAGATCAGTCCTTGGCCAGCGGTGCCAAACCTCATTCCCACGACCCTGACAAGGAGTATTTCAGGGCTATTCGTGAGCAGCAGGTGATAACCGATTTTCATATCGATCGTCTCGCTGTTGGAGTCACTCCCTCCAAGAGACGGAGGAACACGAGCTCGAACCTTGAGTTATATGATATATGTTCTAAGTTTGACAGTTTTTATACAGTTTTAGATTATCTTTTTGCCATTGCTAAGTGCTTTGGACACGATGTTACTGCTTAAGCTGAAATATTATGATGACTTTGTGTGAGATTTTAAGTAATAATTATTATATATTTACAATTACCTATTAAAATTAACATTAATGAAATATTGTCTCTGTTTTGTCTCCGAAATTATAGCACTAGAAACCAGGCAGCAGCTAAAAATCACTAACAGTTTAACGGTATTTGGAAACCTGTTAAACTGTTAGTGATTTCTAGTGACGATTGGGTTCAGTTGTCGTTTCAAAGTCAATTAGGTAGTCTGATTGGGTTTATAATTATTTTCCCAAGCTACCCTGTCTAGGAAAAATCCAAATTGGGTTCAGTTGTCCGGTAGCCGTCAGTAATCATACGTTGTATCTTATACCACCGCCGTGTTTTATATTTGAGAGTTGTTGCTTTGCAGATGGCATACTGTACCTACTTGTTCGAGGATTCAATCACCGAAATTTGAAAATTCAATTTTTGGGGGCACACCCAATCAATATTGAATTGCTTATACTGGTGTTTGTGAACATGTTAGAGACTCCGTTGTAACATATTGCAATAGGTCATTTAATCTGGAATATAATCTGAAAATATGGTGCGAAACGGATTTAAAATGACGAAGTTATCAAGCAATTTGTTTATCTCGTTAGCAAAATTGATTGGGTACTCAATAATAACCCAATTACGACACCGTAATTGGGCTCTCTGCACGATTCCCATAATGCAGATCTAGCCTCAACCCAATCACCTGATCACACGTAATGAACAAACTCGTTATGCTTCATATCTCGGTCATCCGAAAAGCTAAACTCTCATTTTTTTCAGGAAAAACGTAATTTAAATGGCCAAACACCATTCAATAAAATTTGATTCGATCCGACTATCCAACCTATCAAATAAATGCGAAAATGAACCTTCATTTGAAAAAAATGAACACGAATATTTTTCGATTTGACAAATTCCTAGAACCAGTAGTGCCAGGGGTAGTAAGTCATATCAGAAAGAATTATTTCGATTGGGCACTCAGTGACTGAGCTACTAAGGCCAACGTATGGGTACTGACTTTGCCCCCCCCCCCCCCCCCCTGTACTATAACTCCACTTTTGACCTATTTGACGGCCACTTATTATTTTCATAATTGCACCGGTTTTTCCCAGGGAGTGCGATTACAAAACTGGTTGCACTGTTTTGAGAGCAACCGAAAACATATTCGGTGTGATTACAAAGCTAATCGCACTGATTTTCTTAAAGATACTGTGATATATTAATAGCTTTCAGTGGTAATTTAACGGGCGATACTTGGGTGGTCTGAAAATCCACAGCAGGCAAGCAAAACGTTCAAAAAATCATCACAACTGCAGATAATAGGGATGGACCGATTCTTGGTCCATCCCATCCTAGCGGCCAATAGCAATCGATGAGTTATGTCACGTGACTCAGATCCGACCAATCACATAACAGGAGCAATTAGCATCGGACGGTTATCCTATGTTTACTTTTCTTATCTGTATTTGACCCTCTGTTGAGATGGTTATCAGATATTTTTGTGGAGTTACTAGATTGTACAAATCAACCGAGAGAGAGTCGGCGGATGACGTCACTTCGTTTCTCGGAGGAGGTTTCGGGTTGAAGTGGAGGGTTGAAGCGCGCTGTTCTTTGAGTTGCTCAGTGCTCTCAAAACAGTGCGATTAGTTTATAATCTCACTGTTTTTAGAGCAACTAACTAAACAGTCCGTGCGAATATAAACTAATCGCACCGATTATATAACACCAGAAGTAGTTATACTTGACTTAACTGACTTGTAGTGTAGTGTTCCCGAGATCCATTGACAACAGTTCTCCACAGCTTTCTGTCCTCCATCAGTCTAGCTATCTCATCTACTGACTTCAGCCCAGTATCTGCTTTTAGGTTATCTAGTAGTGTTAAGTAAGGTCGCCCCCTGTTAGTATGCCCATGACTCGGCTTCCAGAGGATCAGTTTGTTCAGTGTCAGCTCAGGATGTCGGTGAGCATGACCTGCAAGTCTGAGCCTTCGTTGGGTGATCTTGGAGCCGACTTTGGAAAGATCACCGTACAGGGTTGCTGACATAGTCTCGATATTGATTGATGTTAAGAGCCATTCTAAACATTCGCGCATAGCAACCATCAACCATCTTCTCTAGCCTTTTCGTCATAGTCCAAGTCTCCGAACCGTACAAAAGCACCGACTCGACTAGTGTTGTAAGTGTAAACACTCTGATCTTAACAGACTTCCTAAGCTTAGAATTCCAAAGTTTTTGAGTGTGTGGCATGCTCCCCATACTCTTCCTTTCCTAACCCTGATATCACTCTCACTGTCTCTGATTCTTGAACCCAGGTAGGTGAAGTCTTCCACATGCTCTATTGTGCTGTTACCCAGGGACTTGATAGTATCAGGGTTCTCGATGTTCTTAGTAATGAATTTGGTTTTCCCTTCATTCAGTCTAAGTCCCACTGTTGCAGCAACCCTTTCTACCTCTTGCATCAGCGTCTCTGCCTCCTTTACAGTATCTGCTATCAGAGCAATGTCATCCGCAAAACTCAGCCTTGACTCTCCTACTCCTATAAGGCTTACTGGTAAATCCTATTTCAGGGTGCTTGCTTAAGGCTTGTCTCATGCAATAGTCTAGTATAGGGCTATAATGAACAAGTATGGTGCTGACGTATCCCCTTGAAGAACTAGAAGTTTAAACGCGAATCTAACTGCATGTATAATACGATTACACCAGTTATTGCACTCGGCTGCGCCTCTTGAAATAACTGCAATAATCGAACTCAGCTTCGCCTCGTGCGATTATTGTATCAATTTACACTTGATTGCGCCTCGTGCAATTAAGTGCAATTAGTGTACTCGCATTATACGCTGTTAGATTAGCGTATAATATACATCGGGTTGTAATAATACCTGTTAGTTTTAGGGTTTAAAGGAGCCTCTGTAAGCAGCATTCCAAATTCCTCTGGTGAAACACGAAGCTCATTGTAGAAAGTGTGATGCCAGATTTTCTCCATATCTTCCCAATTGGTGACGATACCATGCTCAATGGGGTATTTTAGAGTGAGGATACCTCTTCTACTTTGGGCTTCATCTCCAACATAGGCTTCTTTCTGTCCCATACCTATCATGATTCCCTGTGAGGTATTAGTGTTGTAGTATTAATAGTTAATAGTTAATAGTACTAAGTTTACAGTATGCACTGAAGGGGTATCCTAGGAAGTTTCTTGAACTTTTAACAGTTTCCTATCATTTGGCTGAGTCGACCGAGGAAATCTCATAGATCCAATGGATCCTTAGCTACTTCCTAGACTAGGTGACACTGGGATTCGAACCCTGAACCTTCTGCGCAGAAGGCGGATGCTCTAACCACTAGGCCACCTAGACCCTAGTAGTGCAGTAAGGGCATAATGTAGTGGAGGGGTGGGGGCATTCACAAATAGATGCCTTTACAAAGTTTCATGTTGAGTTTATGTCATAGTTCAGTCGAGATTAAGAAGAGAAAACCTCGTATGCGCTGTGATCTGTACGTGCGATTTATGTAAGTAATTAGAATAATCTATACACTTACTTAGGTATCTATTATAGATACATTTGATATAATATTGCATGGTTGAGATAGATTATGATTAACCTTAAAAATGAAAGCTTAGAGCATAAAATTTTGTTAACGCTAGGTGAGAAATTGCAGATAAAAATAAATGCAGATTTATTTAGAACGAATCCATTTTTTCTCAGCGGTAGACATAATAGCTAATTGAGCTCCCTTGTTCGCAAATCTGCTCAAACACCCTTGCGGTTTTCTTATTTACATTTTTGAGGATGTGCATTGTGCTGATGATTTTTGATGAAGGAACGTGCAGCGACATCGGACACATCAACTAAACGGATCGTTGCTGAAGTTCATTCAGGACTGGACTTCGAGTGCAGAGCTAACTTTGGATGTCGCACCAGCAGTCTCTCGAAGATGGTGCGAAAAGCACGAGCTGCCTCTAACAGACAACCTACCAACCCCACCTCCCTGGAGTTCCTATCCATTCCTCCTTCCTACCTCAACACAGCTACTGGCGACCCGGTCACCAGGCGGTCATCGCCTCCTTCTCTGTGATTCCGGATACACCTCTTCACTAATTTAAAGAATTAGTGGACTAAAGTAGAATTAAAGAAAAGTAGAGTGGAGTGAAGAGTAAAGAAAAGTCGATATAAGATAAACTTGTCACTATATGGTGCTGTCACTATATAGTGCGATAATGTTCCGTCTAGGTAGGGTCTAAAACAAGGGTTTGCTGTCTGAGGGTGTAATTTGGCAAACTGTGCTAGCTTGTTCACTTCACTCAACTACAAGGTTGTTACTGCATCCTTCAATTCAGGATTCAATCTATTACATTTTAGACCAAGGAATATGAATTGAGCAGCTATAGTGCCTAACAACAGCATATTTTCTTTCTGAGTGGTGTATATGGGATTGTGTGGTGGGTTCCTGGTGCTGACGAAGCAACTGCCTGTTCCGAGATTTTATGAGGCGTTCCATGTTTTTCATACAGCTGTATGAGACTTTTACACTGTTCCGGTTCAAGATCTTGTGTAGTGGATTGTCTCGAGGAAAGTTTCTTGATAGGACCAAAAGCAACTGACAGAAATTACTCTTTTCTATCAAAAAAACAACTAAAATGATGATTTCGAATTTTTTTTCTTGAGACCCCTAAATTACAGCAAGCTTAAGTTCCTGAGCACCATAACAAAATAGCAATTTGTGAGAAATCAAAAATTGATAGGTACTTGAAATTTGGTATGCATAAATTCGACACCTAGTGACACAATGTGATGAAGAGTTTTTAGCAACTGCTCCTATATAATATGCTATATTTTGTATCATTTCTCAAAAAAGTCACACTTTCTGTGGTACACCCTGTATATATGTCCTCGAGGGCGCTAGCCCGAGGACGAAATATCTTTGTATAGCCCGGAGGGCCCGTTGGGCCCGAGTGCTTTATAACGAAACTTCCGCCCGCGAGTTACTGGGCGGCGCTCAGCCTTACCTGTCATTCCGCCAAATCTCCATGATTATAAACATAAATATAATAGCCTGCCTGGGGACCCCAGATAACCCGCGATATGTAGAACGTAAAATTCGCAAAAAACATAATTTTACTGGCGGTGTCAAAACAGGCAGAGGCGGCCATTGCTTTCAGGTCGATACGTAGTAATAGTAATAGTATACCTAGTATTTCGGGATAAGGGTGGTATAGTTAGTGTCCAATTAGCTGATGTTTATTGAATCTTTATTGCCGAGTACAGCTGCCTTCGGGTAGTTTTTCTTAATCTATTACAATTTTATATGAATGGGAAAAGCGACCGACCGATTTCATTCTTGGTATCATTTTGCATTTGCGGACGGTAATTCAAATTAATATCATTTACTTATGTTTGGGAAAGAGAGACACTGGCAGCGGTTCACTCTACCCAATTATGGGTTTTGGTCAAATTCATTTATAGAACTATAGAAAATATACCTTAAGAACGACAAATTTAGTCTACCATAAATTTAGTCAAACTTTTGACTAAAATTGTTGTAAACCAAATTTCTTGAGACTAAATTTTTCGGCGACTAATTTTAAAGCAGACCAAAATTTTAGTAGAGCAAATATGACATGAATATTATTAAGCTAAAATTGTTTATAATTAATATATGTCATCACCGTTTGTACTGCACAAAACCGTACCAAAGTCCTATTGCACTTAAAGGGTTAGAGCTCCTCTTGGACATTACATTTTTAATCGATCGATCCCAATGCATGCTCTGTGGTAGTATGTAAGTATTTTGCACTTTTTTTTCAAATTAATCTGCACGCCTAAAATGAAAACATTGTCAGATTGCAGGTGCACCACACTTTTCACTTGAAATAATTACTGGTAGTAGTGGTACAACTACAACTACGAGTAAATTGTAAGGAAAATTAATTGTGCGTGGTGTAACCGCGGCGAAATTCTTGTTAATATACTAATATAGTAAGCAAGAAAAATGGTCGTTAAGGAGTAAGAATGTTGGTATAAATATATATAAATAAGTTCGTAGTGAAAATCGTTTGGGAAACAAATTTTGAACGGACTTTGACTTGGACGGACATTAAACAGACAAATGTCATTTGAACGGACATTAAAATGAACGCTAGGGCCTCCAGCGTCCAATAAATGTCCGATCAAATAAGGTCCGATAAGGTATACTAATTCATTAATCACTTTATATCCTGAAACCATACTACACAAACCTGGTGTCTAGGACGACCCACAATGGAGGGGAACACAGAACGGGGAGCATCATCTCCAGCAAATCCTGCCTTGTTTACTCCAGATCCATTGTCTAGCACTAAGGACGGAAACTCAGGGTCTCCCATATCTTCGAATCAAAACAGTGTTCACAGGGATAAACTTAGGTATAAACGTGTATCAATGTAATATTTGACCTGAATGGTGGAGCTGTACATGTTTACCAATACCCGGAAACAGTTTTTGCTTTGGAAAATATTTGATAATTGATAAGTAATTGCATTTAGAAGCCTGGTTTATTCAATATTTATACAGTATATAGATTATAGCGGATGTTACAATTGCCATTGGGTGGGAAGACTGGCATGGTCAATGGATGATGATTAATCACTCTACACTCGACTGTCACGTAACTTTTTCAACCCGTTCTCCAGCTGGCCCTGAACGACTATTCGAAACCCTAACCCTCCTATCTGATCCCAACCCTAACCCTAACCCAATCCCTAACAAAAGCATATGCTGAAACCCTAACCCTAACGAGAAATTAGACCAACTTCCTTATACGGTCATATCAAGTGATCAAGACAGTTTTTCACCAATATCTCGGCAGGGGAGCATTTTAACCCTATGTGATGGGAGGTGATTCTGAATCAGCGTCCGAAAATAGATCGAATTAAGCTGGTTTCAACTGTCGAGGGCCCTTTTAGAACAATCTCGAAGATCGACTGTAGAGTGATTTAGCACGCTCGATGGTCAATTGCAATGTTTATCTAATACCAGAAACCCGCTGTTTATCTAATACGAGAAAGCCGTTGTTTATCTAACGTACATAACGCCGGCACGCACAGGGAAGCACGAGGGATTCAGTGGCGTAACGTTGCCTGTTGGCGCCCCCCGCCAAAAAAAGCGCTCTAGAAACACACTTTTTTAGAGATTTTAAAATCACCTAATTTGTTCAATTTTAGGGAGGGCGCAAAAGGGGAGGGTGCGCCAACATGACAGGGGGCGCATTTTCGGCGGGGGCGCCAACAGGCAACGTTACGCCACTGATGGTTGTCACTCTTTGAGTAGATTAGATATAGGTTTAACGGGGCAAAGGAGTGTGCGTGCTGTTCGCTATTGCTCACACCAAACAGCAACCTAGTAAAAGTTTTGTATGGACACCGGTCTTCATAACGATACAAAATTAGGATTGTAGAATTTATTATATAACTATTAGTATTAGGAGTGGAGGTAACGGTGTGATACATTAATAGAGTGACAGCGTACTGATTTAGAATTGTTTTTAAGTGAGCTGCATAATGGGTATATTTTTGAACCTAAAGGCTGCAGTATGGCAACTTTAAAATTGGTTCTTTTAATCATTTATTAAATAACAGTTTAAAAATATATAAATCTGGAATCTGTTCACACTGTGAACCAGTCCTATAAAAATCACAAAAAAACCCTCCTAAATTAAATATTAAAAACGTCTCAATAATGGAAATAGTCATACAATTTAGAAATTTACCAAATTCTTAATATCTACCTAAAAGAAAAATACCTACCTAAATTAATTTCTATCTGTAATACACTAAATATTAAGTTAAACTTAAATACATAGGTGGTGGAGTCAGCACACATTTACCAGAATTACATTTTTCAATAGGAGGAACCTGTGGGCCGAGAACACTGGATTAAATTTGTTGAAGGGGATTGTTTTCAAATGACAGCTGCATTATGTCATAATCACTTAAGGTCCATGCTGAATCATTATAAGCACGTTGCAGCTTTAGAAGTGCCTTTTTCAGGCGACTTTTAGCAAGGCTAATCTTGTATTGCGTCGTATGCCAACTTTATTGACTGTAATCAAATATTCTGTCTCACCTTAGTTATTATTTATATCTAACACAAACTAATACATTTTGATGCTTACTCGACACATCTACAGCACCATCTGCATCGACTATCGAGCCTTTGATTTGATATAAGATTCTTTAAAAGCTTGCCGCAATCTTATTTGCTTCTTGAATGTAAATGTAAAGTAACAGCTGTTTTCATATAAGTATTCGCTTTTTACCATTCAGTGTCGAACTATTAAATAATCAGCCACGAGTTCATCAGCTGATATCATAATTTTATTATTTGACTTGCTGAATTTTATCACTCGGTAATTCATTAAGCTTGTTTCATAAAAATAAAACTTACTTTGATGATTGATCCGCTCAGAAGACTAGTACTACTCTAGTAGCAGGGAATAGTTGAGTGTGCACTTCGATGTGTACTATTTCTGACAACACAGGGTTGTTTGTTAGGTCATTCTTAACCAAAATCGTGTGGGTGCACAATTTGTTTCGCTAGAGACAACCCTACAGGGCAAATTTTCTAAATTACCCTCAGTCGCGTATACGAGATTTTCGTATTTCGGCTCCTGAAGGTCATAGAGACTTCAATTTTAGCTTAAAATTACCGCAATAGCCATATTTATATACAACTTATGAAGCAACATAAGGTCTCCAGTGCTTTGTTTTATAGATATTGACAAAAAACTGTTTTTTGGCTCAGCGAACCAAAAATGGGACTGAATTTTGGTAACTTGAACTAGGAAGATCGTAGAGACTTGAATTTTAGCTTAAAATGAGCGCAAACATCACATTTATATACAACTTATAGAGCAATATAAGCCCTTTAATGCTTATTTGTTAAGATATTGACAAAAATCGGTCATTTTGACTACACGCGTGAGGAAAAATACCAAATTGGGCAACAACTTTGGTCTTTTTTTGACCAGTTTTGTGCTCAAGTTATTAAAATGTGATTTGATGTTGTAGATCGGGTGTTTTCTTCCAATATGGGTTTCGGTATAAATCCGGAAGCACCCGGTTCATGGGTGATAGGGGTTAAAAACCCTAAAATGTCAGGCGACGGGCGAGACAATTGTCTGAATTTGGTTATAAAAACACTTGCACTCTTTGCTAGGGTTTGCTTTTTTCTGCTACATCGATCCGATTTCTAACTACTAATCATCCCCCTCTACATCATTCTCTTTTAGATACATGATTTCTATAAGTTCTTGAAGGTACATCCGGCATGATGTAAAGTCTATATCAAAGCATTTTAATGTGGCCTTAACAAGTTGCAAGATATTCAAGTTCACTAATAAAACAGAAATTGTAGGATATTTTTCTTTTACATATTGATTATTGAGTAATTTTGGTTACACATGTGAGGAAAGATACCAAATTGGTTTACCAAACGAAGATTGTAGGTTATCTATTATTCTTTACATGATTATTGACGCAACTTTATAGTCAAACCTGTATTATTTTTAATATTTAATATTTATCCACACTCTCCATAAGAATATTATTGGGAGTCATTTTGTGGTTAAAATTCGATTAAATCAGTATTTCCAAGCAAAAAACTGCCCCAAATTTCTCCTCCGAATATGGTCCGCTAGTTCGAAATTTTAGCACTTATAAACGTTATTGTTAGACATTACATTAGTGTAATACCACTGAGACCAGATGTAGTAATCTATTCAGATAAAGCGAAGAAGGTGCATCTGAAATAAAGAGAACTTTGCTGATCAAGAGAAAAGAATATTAAGAGATATCAGCAGCTGACAGAAGAGATTGCAAGCTCCAGACAGTAGCAGTTCGAGTTCGAGTTCGAGGCATTTACAACTGCAGCCTCCAAACCTTTATGAACCACCTGAACGTAAACACTAAAGAGAAAAAGGCCTGCATGAAGATCGCTGAAATTAGCATGAGGGCATCATAAACCATCTATCTGTCCAGAAACACCATTATATGGACAGATGATTGGGAGTTAGTCCAGAGGCTAGTAATTGCATAGTAGGAGCGTATAATGTTTGTAGAATGTAATTATTTTTTATAAACTACCGTTCAAAACTTATAGATCAAGTGATAGCCTACCCACAATTATATTACAACGTCGTGGGGTCAGTCGATATTGTTGCTAAAAATCAGGAGCAAGCGTCTTGAGACAGGATACCATGAATCTGTATAAGTTTTAAGTAGTTTCATTCTACGTTTAATATTATTATTGGGTCGTTTACGTTAAAGTTATATTTGGCCATTTTATAGCCTCCCCTCAAAAAGCCCACAATTACTCAATATGTAAAAGAAGAATATCCTACAATCTCTGTTTTATTAGTGAACTTGAATATCTTGCAACTTGTTAAGACCACATTAAAATGCTTTGATATAGACTTTACATCATGCCGGATGTACCTTCAAGAACTTATAGAAATCATGTATCTAAAAGAGAATGATGTAGAGGGGGATGATTAGTAGTTAGAAATCGGATCGATGTAGCAGAAAAAAGCAAACCCTAGCAAAGAGTGCAAGTGTTTTTATAACCAAATTCAGACAATTGTCTCGCCCGTCGCCTGACATTTTAGGGTTTTTAACCCCTATCACCCATGAACCGGGTGCTTCCGGATTTATACCGAAACCCATATTGGAAGAAAACACCCGATCTACAACATCAAAGCACATTTTAATAACTTGAGCACAAAACTGGTCAAAAAAAGACCAAAGTTGTTGCCCAATTTGGTATTTTTCCTCACGCGTGTAGTCAAAATGACCGATTTTTGTCAATATCTTAACAAATAAGCATTAAAGGGCTTATATTGATCTATAAGTTGTATATAAATGTGATGTTTGCGCTCATTTTAAGCTAAAATTCAAGTCTCTACGATCTTCCTAGTTCAAGTTACCAAAATTCAATCCCATTTTTGGTTCGCTGAGCCAAAAAACAATTTTTTGTCAATATCTATAAAAGAAAGCACTGGAGACCTTATGTTGCTTCATAAGTTGTATATAAATATGGCTATTGCGGTAATTTTAAGCTAAAATTGAAGTCTCTATGACCTTCAGGAGCCGAAATACGAAAATCTCGTATACGCGACTGAGGGTAATTTAGAAAATTTGCCCTGTAGGGTTGTCTCTAGCGAAACAAATTGTGCACCCACACGATTTTGGTTAAGAATGACCTAACAAACAACCCTGTGTTGTCAGAAATAGTACACATCGAAGTGCACACTCAACTATTCCCTGCTACTAGAGTAGTACGCTAAATTGATGAATTAGAGTAAATTGTAATCAGATGGAAACCTGTGTAA